TGCTCAATACTTGTGATTTGATCTACTTCAACCCTTGATTTTCACTCACATGCTAGTAGGAGATGCTCCGATTCTTCCATGATTGATCTCATGCTCAATACTTGTGATTTGATCTACTCAATCTCTTGATTTTCACTCATATGCTAGTAGGAGATGCTCCGCTTCTTTCATGGATGATATCATGCTCAATACTTGTGATTTGGTCTTCTTCATCTCTTGTTTTTCACTCATATGCTAGTAGGTAGTGCTCCGATTCTTTCATGGATGATCTCATGCTCAATACTTGTGATTTGGCTTGCTTCAACTCTTGATTTTCACTCACATGCTAGTAGGAGATGCTCCGATTCTTTCATGGATCTCATACTCAATACTTGTGATTTGATTTACTTCAACTCTTGATTTTCACTCAAATGCTAGCAGGAGATGCTCTGATTCTTTTATGGTTGATCTCATACTTAATACTTGTGATTTGATTTACTTCAACTCTTGATTTTCACTGCTCCGATTCTTTCATGATTGATCTCATGCTCAATACTTGTGATTTGGCTTGCTCAAACTCTTGATTTTCGCTCACATGCTAGTAGGAGATGCTCCGATTCTTTCATGGTTGATCTCATGCTCAATACTCGTGATTTGATCTACTTTCACTCTTGATTTTCAGTCATATGTTAGCAAGAGATGCTCCGATTCTTCCATGGATGATCTCATGATCAATGCTTGTATTTGGCTTGCTCAATCTCTTGATTTTCACTCATATGCTAGTAGGTAGTGCTCCGAGTCTGCCATGGATGGTCTGTTGCTTAATCCTTGTGATTTGGTCTAGTGTAGAGTTTGATTTTCACCCATGTGCTAGTAGGTAGTGCTCAGATTCTGCCGTGGAGGGTCTCCTGTTCAATACTTGTGATTTGATCTACTCTACCTCTTGGCTTTCACTTATATGATGTTCTGTCTTACACTTGGTGGTAGTCCGGATCTTCACTTGTTGTTCAACTTGTCTCCTTGTTGTGTTTTTTGTTTAGTTACACTCATGTGTTGTTCAGTCTTGCACTTGGTGGTAGTCCGGTTCTTCGCTTGTTGTTTCAACTTGTCTCTTTGTTGTGTTTTCCTCTAGTCACACTCATGTGCTGTTCAGTCTTGCACTTGGTGGTAGTCTGGTTCTTCACTTGCTGTCCAAGTACCCATGTGCATGTCTGAGTTTCAGTCGTACCCCCCCCCGTACTCTATTCAAATACCGCTTGCTTTCGCCCCCTCAGGTTTTATTCGAACGCGATAATTAGAGAATAGGAAGAATGTTGTTTTTCAGCATTCTGAACTGACTGCTGCTGTTTTTGCTGCTAGGTTCTGTACTTTCGCTGCTTATAGAAGTCTGGTCGAGCTGGACACCCGCTGCTGCTAGGAAAAGTAAGTGACCAACCGCCGGTGCACGGCCACTCCGAGAGCCGCAGAACGGGCCAAAATGACCCGGGCGCACTCATGAGGGGCCTGTCAAAACATGGAGCATGAGGTCTGAAACTTCTCAGACCTCATGTCCCAGACATAAACAGATGGTCTTCAGACCCAGCAGACCATCAGAGTCCGTTTTGCTGAGAAATCAGAAAACGGACTTCCCCCGAATTGTTCACCTTGAGGCCGGACGACGCCCGAAACAGGTAAGTAAGGCCAAACGGTGTCAGAATGACTCCAAATTTTGCAAAGGCCTTCCCTGAAGTACAGTGAAAGGGCCCACCGAATTTGGAGTGATTCTGAGGACGTTTGGGGCGGGAAACACAGACCTGTGTTTTCCGGCTCTCCACACTTAGGCGAAAACGGCGAAAGTGTCGGAAAAACAACAAATCTCCAAATTTTGTGTTTTCTGCAAAACAGTGTGTTTTTGCAAAACTGTGGGTCTCTGCAAAACTGTGTTTTATGCAAAACTGTGTAGGGCTAGTGCTAGGATTTGTGTCCGGGAATTGGAGGGGTATAGCCGGACGGACCCGGACACTTGAAGTAGCGGGAACGACGCCTCCCACCTTCCACGTCCTTCCTCCTCCACCCGTCTACCATAGCCGACCACCTTCCACCTTCTTCCTCCTCCACCCATCCACCATAGCCAACCACCTTCCACCCTCTTCCTCCTCCACCCGTCCACCATAGCCGATCACCTTCAACCTTCTTCCTCCTCCACCCATCCACCATAGCCAACCACCTTCCACCTTCTTCCTCCTCCACCCGTCCACCATAGCCGACCACCTTTCGCCTTCTTCCTCCTTCACCCATCCACCATAGCCAACCACCTTCCACCTTCTTCCTCCTCCACCCGTCCACCATAGCCGACCACCTTTCGCCTTCTTCCTCCTCCACCCATCCACCATAGCCAACCACCTTCCACCTTCTTCCTCCTCCACCCACCCACCATAGTCAATCACCTTCCGCCTTCTCCCTCCTCCACCCATCCACCATAGCCTACCACCTTCCGCCCTCTTCCTCCTTCACCCGTCCGCCATGGCCGACCACGTTGCACCTCCTTCCTCCTCCGCCGTCTTCCGCCGCTCAAAGGTCGTGAGCAAAGGGGCGCCAAGGGGCGCAAGGAACGTTAGGTAGGACGGTAGGACACGCTAGGGAGTAAGATTGATTAGGGATTAGGAATCTTTTTCTCCCCCCTCTTTCTTTCTCTCTCTCTCTCTCTCTCTCTCTCTCTCTCTCTCTCTCTCTCTCTCTCTCTCTTTTTCTTTTTCCCTCTCCCTCTCTCATTCTCTCTTCCTTGAAAGCTTTGACCTTCACCTCTTCCCTCCCCCCTCCTCTTCCATCTTGACACATGACTAACCCCTCCCCAACCCACTTGTTACATTGCCAGGGAACGAACAGTGAAAAGAAGCGGTCCTCACTTGGTGGAGAAAGAGGGCAAGGGAAGGGTAGCCGGTCCCTTGCGCCACTAAGAAGGAGAAAGGAAAGTCCTTTGAGGATTTTGGGAAGGCAAGATCCTCGTGGAAAGAGAAGGAAAGAGAGTTTGGCACAAGGTCAGTTGACTCAACCATTCCCCCAACTGCATGACTAAGGAGAATGCATGACTTGATTGTGGGAAGAAAGGGAAAGTTGAAAGAACCCTGGAAGTGGAAAGGAACTTAGGCTTGCGGGAAGGGCAATGTGTTGACCCCAATGGGGGGATTGTATTGGTCCTTGCCTTTGTGTAGGATTGTGCAGGTGAGTAGCTTAGGATGACTTGAGCGGGACTGGGTTCGGGCACCCCGGGCGAAAGAGAAGGATCAGATGGAAAAGCCGAAGGCCTAGCATAAAGTCTGATACGGGTGGGCCTTGGCGTAGGATGCTTGGGAGAAAGGGTCAAGGAAAAAGGGTGTGGCTTGGCATGGTGAATGTGTGTTCCGACTCTTTGCATGCAATATCGAAGCCCGAAAGGACTAAGGGCGGGGGACGGATGTATGGATGAGATGCATGTGTCAAGTAAAGGAAATATATAGGGGGTAGGGGATGGATGGTGCCGCCCCACCCCGATGATGCCATAGGGATGGTTGTGCTTAGTGAAAAGGTGTGTGGCCCAAGGATGACGCTTGGCCTACGCACAAAAGAAGAAAAACCCTCAATAAACCCCCTCTGGACTGCTTGTGTATTGGAAGGAGCAATTGCCTGGCCACATCTAAGCGAATCGAGAAAACGTCGCGAGTGACCGTAAAGCTACCATCTAACGCTAAAGCGGAGCTACATCCCCCAATGTTAAAGCCCTCTCGCAAATGACCCATCCCCATCCATCTCATAGCACTAGGTGGGGGTGCCCCTGGGACGAATGACCCGTGCCCTGAGCGTGAGCGTGGGTGGGTCGAGCCAAATGGGACCCGCAAAGTGGTCGACTCAGGCTCGAACGTCTAACAGGGTACGACCCTACAAAAAATGGTGGAGGTGCCTAGGGTTAAATTAACCCTTACAATTCCAGAGGGGGCGCCCGACGCATGATCGTGTACATAACCGAAGAAAGAAAATTTGGACTTGTGCGTGCTCTTTCCCGTGAGAGAATCAGACTTGAGAGTGGTTGGGCGCATGGCTTAGCCAGACCTGGAGGTATAACATGATTGAGTGCACTTGATTACCCATCTCCTCGTGAGATGACTCTAGCCCCCCTTCCTCCGACGTTGGTGTTCGCCAGTCCGGGGAAGCCTCGGGCAAGTCGCAGGTTGATCCTTCCTCTTCGTGCGAAAGAATGGCTCCGATTACCTGGCAGGCGGTTGGTGCTTCGGCTTAGGCCGGGGTCCAATCAAAATCCTACGGGGGAGTGATCCGACTGACTGGGTGCTCTTCTCCCCTTCTTCTTCTGAGCCCAGCGGGCTCATGCACTATGCACGAGAAATGTTTAAAGGAGTTCCGTGATGTTTCCCTTTGTGTTCATGCTTCAAACTTTGAGTTTTCACTGATTTGGGAGCTTGGATGAGTTGCGATTCACCTAGTGAAAGTTCCGTGATGTTTCCCTTTGTGTTGATGCTTCAAACCTGGAGTTTTCACTGATTTGGGAGTCTGGATGAGTTGCGATTCACCTAGTGAAACTTCCGTGATGTTTCCCTTCGTGTTGATGCTTCAAACTTKGAGTTTTCACTGATTTGGGAGCCTGGATGAGTTGCGATTCACCTAGTGAAACTTCCGTGATGTTTCCCTTTGTGTTGATGCTTCAAACTTTGAGTTTTTACTGATTTGGGAGCCTTGATGAGTTGCGATTCACCTTGTGAAAGTTCCGTGATGTTTCCCTTTGTGTTGATGCTTCAAACTTTGAGTTGTCACCGATT